AGGGAAGCAGAGGAAGGACTGGGTTAGCTGTACTTGCTTCAGTCTGTAAATGAGTGGAATTGGAGGCAAAGGTCTTGATCAGTGCACAGGAATAAAATCTCCAGAACTTTCCTGAAGGCCTGAGAGCAGTGGAGCAGTGGAATACCTGTGCTGGGCTGAGAGGCTTTACAGGGTGGTGTTCACTGTCCCTACAGACACTCTGTAAACCATTCAGTCCCAAAGCAGTTACGTTTGATCTGAGTGTTGTGGGTTCGTAGTGAAAATCGTGTTGATTTTTGCTCTAGCTTTGTAAACTCTCATTTTAGGGCTTTGAACTGTGCTTTCTCTCTTCATACAAGTGGAATTCACCTCAAGATAGCAACAGCATCAGTTTGGGACACAGCATTGTCCTGCTTGGTGGAGATGTGCCCTGCTTTGTCCCAGCTATAAAACTGCCTTGTTACAGTTGTATTTTCCTCATGGTTGAAAATGTCCTTGGAAATACATTGTTTTTCCCTCACTGGGGTCACCTTGGTGTGTTCCTGTGCCTGTGTCCTGCTTTGCACATCTCCAAGCAGCCCTTGGGCATCCCAGCTTCTTGTTCTCTGATTCCTGCAGGCTTTGTTTTCAGGACCATCTCTACTTGACATTGATGCTTGTTTTCAGCTTTAATCTTCATGCTTGATAGATATAAAAAATGAGCTAAATTAGTTTGTTCTACATTTGGTAGGGCTTTTTGTAATACCTGCATTTCATTTAAGCCTGGTTGTCTCTGTCTTTGAGCCTGGTTTAACATTTCCTTTTGTCATCTCAAACTTATGTCTTCCTCAGGCAAAATGTGACTTTTATGTTTTAAACCCCTTTCTTTAGACCAGACTTTAACTTGGGGCAATAAATATTCTCCCTCCACTCTCTCCAGTGCCTTTGGCATTGATTCTTTTGCAGCCTAGTGCATCTTGATTAAATTTGAGTAACAAAAGGATATTTGAACCAATAGCAGAACCATTTCTGCAACTCAAGGATGATTTTCAGGTACTGCTTTTTGTATATTCTGAGACTGGTAGGTCACTGCTGGCATATTTTACAATGATTTTTGAGCTCTCAAGATCCTGTTTTTTCTTAATCTGGATTTAGTGCTCTTTCACTACAACATAAATTTTAACAGAGAGTTTACAAATATTAAGAGCCAGTGGAATTCTGTGTGCAGACTAATATATTTTTCTAGTTTTAGAGCATTAGTCTTTCTCATCTTTATCCACACAACCGGTGGATGAGATCAAATCTGCAATAAACAAACCCCTTCAGAAGTTATTTAAAACTACTGCCACTTCAGGCAGAAAACCATAAATAAATTAAAAAAATAAATAAATTGGTCGGAAACATCGTAGTTTACTTGAATAGCCTCTGCCTTGTTTTTCTGGCATTCTGGTATGCCAGGAAGACTTGTAAAGGGAGATTTAACTGTAGGTTTTCCCTTCTTTTGTGCTTGACAGCAACTAGCTTTCAAAACATCCAAAACCTGAAAAACCCTCCCCCTCAAACACCTCCCTTTTTCTTCTACTGAGGAACATGGCTGTGGAACAGAGTAACTGGTTTGTGGCTGTAATGAAATAAATACAGCTGTCAGTGTCGTGCAGGTTGACAGGAGCAAAACCTCACAACGGAGGGAGCACTCGAAGGTGTTTATTCCCTTTCTGCTCGTCACTAAGGAATCACTTTGGATTGAGACTGTTGTGCTGCTTCCCGTGGGTCTGGGTGACCTTTAGGTGGGATCTCGGGATTGTTTCCCCTTCCTGCCGCTCCCGAGGGCCGTGCCCTGGGTGAGCTGCTGAGCTCTGGCCTCAGGTGGGCTGTGCTGGGCAGGGCTGGTGCCTGTGAGCTCTCAGGGCTTCCTGCACCCCCTGGGTCCTGCACTGGGCACTGCACGAGGAATCGGCTCTAAACACAAATAAGGGCAGATTCTTGGTGTTAAACAGATACAGTGTCATCGCCTCAGCCAGCCCTTGGCCCCTTGGACTGTTTGTGTTGTGATGCTTCTTTGTATTTCGGTGCTGCTGCCTCCAGAATTGTGCAGAACGGGGCCGTGGCAAGGAGGGAGTGCTGTGCTTGGAGAAGACCAAGTAAGGGAAGTGCTGGGCTCTGAAACCTCTTATGTAAGCAGTGCAATCTGTACAGTGTCATTTGCTGTTTGCTTCTGAACAATTATGGAAATCGCTGGCAACTCACAAAAAGCAGGAGGACCTCAGGTTCCAGACTCCTGTTGTGTTGCAGGAAGCATTCTCTGTAATAATTAGCCTTTTTTTTTAACTTTTCTTTGATTTTTTTTTTTTTAACATGTCTGTGTGGTACTGGCAGATTTCAGCTCTTTTTGCAGCTTCTGGCTGGATATTTTACTGGGCAGTGGCCCTCTGGCAGCTGGAGTGTAGCTGGAAGCATCACCTCAACTTACTGATGCTGTTTGATGTGCTGCCTTTGCTGTTTGTGAATGAGTGAAAATGCAAAACATTAACTCCAGACTGTCCTTCGTAATTTAAAGTTTTTATTAATTTATATATCGAGGCTGTTTGTCCCTCCAGGATTTTATTCTAACCCAAAATAGCTTTTTAAAGAGCATTTTTATCTCTTTTTTTTGTCTTTTGGTGTGGTGGGGAGAGACATCATGGTGGAGTTACCTGTGCTGATGACAGGGGTACTCAGATGAAAGTGGTGTTGTGTGGGAATTTATCGTAATCTGAGACGTGGTTTTTTCAAGAGGAAATGTGGGGTTAAAAACGTAAAGCCAGAGAATATTTGATACAGTTGTCCAGTTTAATATTTTTAAATTATTTTTAGGCTTTGTGCAAAAGTTATAAGAACAGCTTAGTGAATCAGAATCAAACCCGAAAGCTTTTGACAGCTTTTTATTCAAATTACGGATACTCCCTATAATAAGAGGATTTACAGCACTCTCCCGTCCCACATGTGTCTGTTGTGGAGCCCCAGCAGCAGAGCAGCTCATGGGCATCCTAAAATATACAGAAAACACACAATTACCACCCTTCAGCCCTGCCACAAAGGCTGGGCAAGAAGTCTTTCTCCAGGAATGGTTCCTTAGTAGCCAGGACAGCTGGAAAAGTAGGATTGAATTTCGGAGTTCGGGTTTGGGGTCGCTCTGCCTTCACCTTCAGGGATGTCTTGGGCAGGGCAGTTCATCCCCTTTGGGCAGCAGTGGAAATGAGAACCTGGAGAAGGGGCTTTGCTTCCTGGAGCTACTGGGTGAGAGTGGCAGTTCAGTGTTAGGGTGGAGGGAAAGAAGCTGTGATGTGTGAGAGAGCTCCAGGAGGAGGTGGGAAGGAGCCGGGCTGGGCCTCGTGGTGCTGCTCCAGCCTGGGGGGTGTGCAAACCACATGGAGCTGCAGCCAGCCTGGCTGTGATTTACACCTCAGTGGGAATACACAGTGATCCTGGTTCAGCATCCCCTGGAATGGGGACAGCCCAGCAGAGCAGGATCATGACGTGGTGCCCTGTGTTACCTCAGAGAGCGGAGAACTGTGGGATCCGTGTCCACCCCCGGGGACAGCAGGTGGGCCCAGGGCAGGTAAGGAGGGCATGTGCAGTGCACTGGCCTTTCCTCCCTCCTGGACTGTTTGCTGGAGGTTTTCTGAGCTCCTCTAGTCCTGGGTGCAAGGCTGGAGAATCCTGGAGCAAATGAGTTTGTAATGGAAGCAGTTTTTGAGGTTCATGTATTTGCTGTCTGTGTTCTTGTATCTGTCACTTGCAGCTGCAGCACAGTTGCTCTTCAAGCAGGACTATGGCAGCAAGGAGCAATTTCTCTGTGTGCTCTAGACACTCTTGGTCTTGTTTTCTTGCCCAAACGGTTCTTTAGAGATGCATCTGTAGTGCAAACTTCCCGTGTGATTGTCTGTCCACACCCAGCTCTTTGTTTCACTGTTTCATTAGTGGGTCAAAGGATGGAGGGGTGGGAGATGCTCTTTTTTACACCATCAATTTTTCTAAGGCTCTAAGTCCACCTTTCCATTTTCTACAATCCATTGACTTGTCTCTCAGTCCCCTTCCTGAAAACAAACCATGAATTTGAGGAGAGAGAAGAACCAGTGAGTTTTATCAGCTGTGTGGCCCTGTAACTCCACTCACCCATGGGAAGTAGAGAAGAGGAGCACAGCAATGACAGGTTTTGCTGCATAATCTGTGTCTGGCCAGCTGTGTTCTAATCTTTTAGTTTAAGGAGGGGCCTGGCGGGGGAAGGGACTGGCTTTAAGGCAACACTGTTCTCCATAGATATCTTTGAAAATAGGATTGAAGGACAATTTAGGATGTCTGTGCTCTTAACACGGCTCTGAAGCTGGTAAGTATTGAAGGATTTCATGCCATAATAAGGATATTTTGGCCTGAGCACGAATGTCAGCACGGCATCTCTTCTCAGAGTTCTGTGGGCTGCTGAAGTACCTTTGGTGCTGTCTGTTCTCTAACAAAACAATTTTTGGGCCTCTGTGTGTTTATACCACCGAATCTCCCTTTCTCTTAGAAGGTTGTGACTCTCCTGGAGCTGGGGTGATCCAGCTACTTCAGGAAAATAGGTCACTTGTGTCTTGGGGAATTCCCTGCCTCAGAAGTCCTAAATAGGTGGAAGAGGAGGTCAGAGCAGAACTCAGTTTAGGGGTTTACCCCTTCTGCCCTTGTAGATAGGTCAGATAAAGAAACCTCTTCAGAGAGCAGACATCTGGTCATGAACAGTTAACCCTGGCCAACAAGGTCCACACCACTCAAAAGGGCCTGAATCTCCATCAGTCTGCCTGGAGTCCCTCCTGGCTGGTGAGCAGGTACTGCTGGCACGGATGGACCCTCCGGAGTGGCCAGTATAACTCGGGGTGGGAGTGCCCTGCCCTGACTGTGGCCCTCCATCCACCAGTGCTCCATGTGTGGTTCTCTATGCAAGTTGTGTTACTGTAGATGTCTTCTCTAACTCTGTTTTCTGCACCTCATTGCTTTGTTGTGTATAAGATCTCTTGTTTTCTGCCGCTCTGTCACTGCGTTTCTGCTGCCCCTCCCTCTAGCTGGGTTTGTCAAGTCGCCCATGTCAGAAACTAAGCTCACGGGGGACGCCTTTGAACTGTACTGTGATGTGGTTGGGAACCCCACTCCAGAGATCCAGTGGTGGTATGCTGAAGTCAACCAGGCTGAGTCTTTCAAACAGCTGTGGGATGGCGCTCGGAAGCGCCGTGTCACCATTAACACTGCCTACGGGGCCAATGGGGTGAGTGTGCTGAGAATAACCCGCCTTACCTTGGAAGACTCTGGGACTTACGAGTGCAGGGCCAGCAACGATCCCAGGAGGAATGACTTGAGGCAAAATCCCTCCATAACGTGGATTCGAGCCCAGGCTACTATAAGCGTCCTGCAGAGTGAGTCCGGCACCCACCGTAGTGGCACTGTAGTTCCTAGAGGCAGTCTAGTGACCCCCATCCCGTTATCCCGAACCCTCTGCCTCCCTGTCCTCTCGTGCTGCCCCCCAGACCGCTCCTCCACCCGTAGTGCTGACCTTGTCTGCCATCCGTGTCTCTTCTCCTTAGGATCAAAGCACTTGGGAAAATCTGTGGATCTGTGTTAGAGCTTCTGTGTGAACACGAGCCCGGTGTTGGATTTGTGTTTCTTCCCTACCCCTTTTAGTTTTGTAGAAGGTTTCCAGCCTCCCTGGCTTCTCCACGAGTGCCTTTATATTTGATTTCCATGTTCTTCCCAGGTCTAACCATTTTATTTTGATTTCTTCCCTTCTCTTGGAATTTCTCTGAATGCCTTCTCGCGTGTTTTGGTTGCATATATGCTTCTGTATAAATCCTTCCCTTCCAGTTACGTGTCACCTTTAATGTTTAGATTTTTCCATGAAGTCGTGGTGTTTCTTTTCCTTCCTGAACAGCGGCATGTTCCTAAATGAGTTCTCTGATGCAGCAGCACTGAAGTGATGCAGCTATTCCTAATCCAGCCTGTGAAAGGAGAGGGGGGAACACCCTCCCTGGAGCTGAACTAACAACTCCAGCTAAATGACTTTCAGCCGAGGAGGCAACTTCTGGCAGCAGAAAAGCTCTCAGAAGCAGAGACCGTGCTTGGCCCAGAATTGCTTTTTGTTCTTTGTTGTTACAAGGCTTTTCCTGCCTTCAGTTTGCTCTTAAAGCCATCCTGGATGAGTCTGGGAATTGATGCTGTCAGAGTCAGTAGAGAAGAACTCGGTTTTGTTTTGGGCAAGATGTGAAATTCTTGCCTTTGCAGATAGTGAAGCAAACGTCTAAGGAGTTGTAGGTAGAGGGAATTAAATCTGCCGAGTTAGAGGTGCAGGAGAACTCACTTTTTGCATGATTACCCAGTGTCCTAAGGTGACAAAAGAGCAGAGCAAAGCTGTTGTCTTGCTCTTGTCCTTTGTGCATAAATAAACCTTTTATGCACCACCTGGAGTTTTGTCTGGGTACAAAAGTGTCAAATCTGTAATTATGCCTCAGTTATGTATTTGAATACCTTAAAAAAACCCCAACCCCAGACTCTCCCTAAACCATAGTGCTGCAGTCAGCACTGCTGGATCAGAGACCTTCCCTCTGGAAAATGCAAACAGCATTGATACATGTGGAAAAACAGACAGTGAACCCAATGATGTGGATTGACTTAAAAAATTTAAGTGGCATTGGGTGGTTCAGCTCGAACCTGCTCAGCTTTCAATCCTACTGAATCCTTGATTCCTCCCTGGTCCTTTGAAATCCCAAAGGACTTGGATTGCTTGCATGACCTACAGCAGCAAGAGCCTGTAACCTTAGGCAATGATACTACCTTGAGATAAAGCCCAGAAATTTGTCTTCTAGGAAGTGATGTCTCCTGGAAATCCCCCTGCCCTGTCCAGACCTGTGGGGTCTCTGGAGAGTGGTGGGTCCTGAGCTCCTCTGGCTGTGTCCAGCCAGCTGGAGTGACCTGCTGAGGGAGAAAATCCTTTTCATATGCAAAGCCAACCCTTGGGAATGAGTTGCTGTGAGTTTTCCATATGCAAAGTGGGTTTTCCCTCTCTCAGGCCGTTGGTACTAACCTGCTCCAGGGACTGGAGCTTAACCTTCATCTTCCTCCCCAGTTAACTCCTTGTTTCATCTGGTGTTACTAATTCAGGAATGTGTGTGGTGACTCCCTTGCCAAGTGCCTTGTGCCCAGGATAATTCTGCTTTCATTGTGGGGCAAATGTTGAATCAAATACTTTAATGCCTTTGCTCTGTAATGTTGTGTATGATAAGAGATCTGACCTGCTGCTGCTTGGGAAAGACCCTGCGGACATCCAGCTCCTGCCTGGAAACAGAGATAAGGTGGGAGAGAGTTTCCTAGGAGGTTGGAGACCTGGAGACCATCTTATCTGAGCCTGCCCAAATTGTCTCAGCTGCTCTATTGTGTGTCTGAACACAATTTGCCTTTGGAGTGGGAATTGTCTCACTAAAAAGTTGGAATTTCCAGTTAATAGTGGCCATTTTGCTGCTGCCAGTATTTGACCCCAGCATTACTGAAGGGAAAGGTCCAGTGTCTCAAAGAGCACAACCTCCACCCTTGTCCTTGGAAGAGATCAAGTGCAGCTTGATTTTTAAAATTTGGCACTCCAGAACTCCCGTCTGCCTTCTACCTCATTCCTAAACTGGAACATGAATTTCACTTATTGGGCTTTCTTTAGTTGGTTTGCTTGGTTTTTAACTCTGAAAGCTGGTCTTACATAAAATGGGCAGTTTAAGTCATGTAAAAAGTGACTCTTGTAGGTGAACACCTTCCTCTGGATGTCACTGTCCCAGCAGTATTCCAGTTGCAGTTTGTCTCCTGGAATTAAATCAGGCTAGGAATGCCTGATAGCTTTTTTTATAAACAAAATACCATAAATGCAGGTAAAGGTGAATATGAGACTGCAGTTGCCTTTCATTTTCCTAAACTAGAACTAAAGAAGTTGCAAGTCAGACACCGAATTACTGTTTCAAACACAGTGCTGACAATATTTCCATAGCTCTGTATTTTTCTGGGGACGCAAATGAGCTTTTTGTTGGGGATGGAAAAGCACTCAGGGCAGTCCAGTAATATGGCTGTGACACAACAGCTTTGTACTGGAGGACCCAAAGAGATCCTTGCAAGGATGAAATCCCCTGGGTGGGAGGAAGGAGGCAGAAACACAGTTAAAAAGGTGTGATAAGAGCAAAATGTCTGTGGGAAGAGTCAAACCCCCTCTGTTCCTGCAGTACCTGCCAGTGTTTCTGCAGGTAAATACCAGTCCTGGGTTTAAATAGCTGTGGAAAGGAGGACTTCTCAAAAAAAGCCAGCCTGCTGGAGAAGGGATGCACAGGACTGGAATGCTCCATCAGGTTATTGGCAGGTGGATATTTTTTCTCCCTGCCTCTCTGGGCAGTAATTTAAGGACAGAGGAATGTCTGTGTTGGGAATTGTGACGTTTCTGACACAACCGGTGTTTTCCATCCCCCTCGTTCTGTTTCATAACTTGCATTCCAAGTGCTTTGCAGATGAGCAGCCAAAAGACTACATGGATACAACTAAACTTACTCTCCAAATTGTTACCACAAGGTGTGGCAGAGTTTACAGGATTCAAACTCCTTTGGCTTGCAGAAATCATGAAGGTGTTGGTTACTGACCCGCTGCCTCACCTCCTGCCCGGAGCGGGGAGAGGCAGCTCCTGCATCCAGAGGGGCTGGTGCTGCCAACCGTGGTCATGGGCAGAGAAATGAGCAGCTGGCAGCAGCCACCTCTTGGGAATCCATTTCACCCTTTAAAGTAAGGAAATAAATCCAAGGCTGAAGGCGCAGCAGCACCTGAACAGCAGAGACCCCGTAGTCTTGGCCTCTAGTCCAAGCTGAAACCAGAGCCACTGTTAAATTAGGTACTTTTTGAAGACTAACAGCAAGAATTCTTAATTTCTTTTAAGCTCTGTCATCCTGTGTTAGGTGGTTTTTTTACAGAATGCTTGAAACCAGATGTGAGCCCTGAGACCTTCCATAGAAAGGTCTTTTTTCCAAGTTTGGGAAGAAACTTGTCTCTGACTGTGCCAAAAGTTCACCAGCCGTATTTGTCAGTGAGTGGGAGCCATCTGCATGATTTTAAGCACATGTGGCCATCAAATGTAAGGACAGTGCCCTCATACTAATTTGAACACTTCTGAAAGGCTTTCCCCTGAAAAAAAAAATAAAAAAAGTGAATTTGCTGTTACCAGGTAAGATTGTGAAGTGGAACAGCCTGGGTTCTGTTCCCAGCAAAGTGAGTAACTCCTGGGGTCTGTTTATGCACTGAGGCTCCTTTTTCCCCCCCCTTCATTAATGTTTATGTTAAAGGTTACTTTAGAGACAAAATAGGTCCAGCTCTAACACGCTGTGTAAGGGCTGCTTTCAGCCAGTCCTCACCAGGCTCTGCCTTACCCACGCTGGGTGTTGGCCCCGTTTCAGACACCGTGGAAGTTGGGCTCTTTGAAATCTCTTGTGTGCACAGGATATTTTCCATGGGTAGACTTTAGTCTGTTTGCAGGGGGAAATCCAAAAATATTATTCAGAAGTCTTAAGTTTGAGGGCTGTTCTCTATAGAAAATGGGTTTGGTTTAAACCTCAAAGTAGAGGAATCAAAGTAACAGCCAGAAAGAAGCCTCTGGAGGACAAGCTGGTCTCATGTACACTCACAGGACATGTGTTCTCCCGTGTTATGGTCAGTAATGTGCAAAAAATCATTAATGGTGTCACCTAGAAACCTGTAGCAATGTGAATATTAGAATAAACCATCTAAATAACTCTCTTCTTCCCATCCAGGAGTGCTGATCCCTAAGGTGTTGCCTTCACTAGCGGTCGGCTGTTTATTGTGGCTTTCTCGATGTCTCCCGACTAGTGCAGTGACATTCCTTGTGTAGTCTCTTTCCCTTCCCGATTCCCCTCTGGATTTTAGACTAGCGTGGCAGTGCCTGGGGAAGGTGAGTTGCTATGTGCTGTCCCCTCGTTTCAGAGCCCCGGATCAACGCCAGCGAGGATGTGGTGCTCCACGTCTCCGGGGTGGCCGTCACGTTGCAGTGCAACCTCACCACCAGCCCCAGCCCCCTCACCGCCAGCTACTGGGTGAAGAACGGGGAGGAGATCCCAGGCACTAGGAGAACCTCCAACACTACAGAATACAAGTGAGTCCCTTGGGAATAACCTTCCTGTTCCACTGGAGAACGCCAGGCTGGCAGACCGGTTGCTTTGGAGCAGGTGATGAGGGGTTGGGTTCCAGGGTACCTAAAGCCTGGATTATTCTGGATCTTGCAATCTGAACTCATTTAGCTCCTCTCTGGGGCACAGACACACAGGGGAGTTTTCTTCCCTGCGTGAAGATGGATCCAGTGCATGTCTGTGCCATGCAGGGAGGTGCAGCACACAAATCACTGCTGAGGTGGGCTGGTTTAGTCATCTCCTGGCCTTGGGGGATGAGAGAGGGTGATCTCAGAGTTGTTAGTGAAGGTTGTCAGACCACTGCGAGGAGATGGTCCCACATCTTGACTGAACCACATCACTTGTGCCTCTGGGCTGTCAGTGCATCCTCACCCTCAGCACTGACCTGTTCCCTGGCTCTGTCCCTTCCATCCAAGGCTGAGGGAACAGACCCTGCACAGCCACCTCCCTTGTTTCACTGGAGCTCGCACAGAGCACAAATCCATGGAGGGTTTCCATATTCCTGGAAAGGGACTTCCTTGCCAGTTTCTAAGAGCACATGGAGCTCCCTCAGTGATGCCCTCAGAGATCTGTTCTGAGTGGGTGATTTTCTTTCATATTTTCTTCTTTCCACCCATTCTCTTCCCTTGCTGCCAGCATGGACAGCAAATACAGCTCTCAGTTCAGTGTTAGGCCAAGATGAAGAGCACTTGAGGAATGTTTTTAACCACTGCTGGGAACTTGCCCTCAACTAAATAACTCAGCTGCCTGATTTCTGTCTCTGGGGTGGCTCTTCACCCACCCTGATGTTGTTCACTGACACAGGATTAAGAAATGCTCAAGGTTTTCATTGCCTTAGCAAAGCAGCCTTTCATCCCCAGGATTATGGAAGTTGGGGTTAATTCTGGCAAATGTGTATTTTCCCTTTTCCTCTTTAGCTCACTGTGCATTACCTGTTTGATTTTGCAGTTTAAAAAATCATCTCACTTCCATAATTACATCCTGTTACTTCCTCAGTGCAGTGTTTAGCACTGGCCTTGAGTTTTAAAGGCTCTGCTTTCTTATCTGGCAATTAACTTGATGAGCAGTTTGGTCCAAAAACACCAGTTTGAGTGGTGCAAAAGGCACTTTGTGCACTTTGTTATCCAGGAAACTTAAGGATTGAGGCTGACTTCCCTGTAATATGTTCCAAGACATTTTTTCCTTCAAAATTCCTCTGCAGAGGGAGGATTAAGCTTGGCTTCAGTTTTAACTTTCTGGATAAGAACGTAGTAAAGTGGGCTAAAGACAGACAGTCCCTGTGTTCCCAGGGAATGGAGGGGTTGTAGGAGCACACTGAAATCCCAGGGACAGCTGGAGAAATCAGTAGATTTACATTTGCAAAACAGATCTTGATTTCCTGATCACTTTGAAGCTGCTTTGCTGCACGTTGGGGTTTCAGGCTTTCCGTGGTGTTCTGTTCTTGCGCTTGATCTGATCGGTAACTTCTGCTTCGATTTGGTTACTTTTTAAATCAGAAGTACCAAATTCTCACAGTGAGGATCCAGGCCAGCAGTGTCAACGTGGCTGTCGTTAAAAGAGGATATTTAGCTCCACCATCTATCTGTGTGCTTGGTTAATCTTTTGCTTTCTATTTATTTCCCTTACAAACTTCCAGGTTATTGATTTTTTCAGTCATTAGTGTGTTGGTTTGCTGTGAGATGTGGTTGGTACTTGGAAGTTCAGTGTTGACCATCCAGGAAGCTTCAGAACCTAGAGGTGAAACTACTTCCCTTAAAAATCCTGCTTCACACGAGGTTGGAAATTGAATATATCTTTCCTGATTCTCATTCAGACTCGATGTAGCTGCTCCTGCTGGAAGGCAGTTGTTGGCTAAACAAACTTGTCTGTCTTGAAAACTTTGCAGCTGTATCAGTTTACCCTTCTTTAATGATTGATGGTAATAATACCCCAGTGCCACCGTTGTAGCGTCACACTTTGCAAAGCAGCCTGTGTGGAACTGAAAGAATTCAGTGTCTTACTTATTTCCCCTCACTTTTAAGCATTGACTGACAAAAAAAGCAGTGGTCAGACTGTGATTATTCAGCTGTTAAGGCCCTGAATGCACTTGGGGAGTTGCTTATCTGAAAGAGGCATTAACTTTGTAAGAGACTTTAGACCTTTGCCAGCAACTCTGGAAAGTAAGTGCTGTAAACACTCAGAGGATTGTGTTGAACTGAGCAGCTTTTTCCATGTGTCTGAGCGGTTTCCATGTGTAATTAAGTGGTTTTATTGCAGGGTTGCTGTTCAGCTGCATGCTGTTTGCTTAGGGGTTTAAAAAATTAATAAAAATAAAAGAAAGCCAAGAAGCCTTTTGGCAAAGGGAGGGAGGGATGGGGACAAGAGCTCTGCCTTAGGCTGGGCTCAGAGGGGGTCGTGCCTGCCTACCTGGGCCACTGACTCGAGGAGGGCTTGCTCCAAAACGAGCTGCAGTGCACAATTAGCAGGCGTTAATTGAGTTAACAGCGTGAAATCCAGTGTGAAAAGATCAAAGTCTGGGATGGGGGGACTAAATTCTGTTGCCAGGTGGTGTTTCGGGGCTCTTACACGTGTTCTCTCCTGTCTGCAGGATCGCGAAGGCCAGAGCGGAAGAGTCGGGGGAATACTTGTGTGTGTTTGTGTTTTCCAACTCTCCTGTAGCCAACGCCACTATAGAAGTGAGAGGTACTCCTGGCTTTGTCTCTTTTGGTTTGTCTCCTCTCCCTGAAAATGCCACTTCTCTGCCACATCACTTGGGCTCTGTACAAGAGAGTGAACTCAGGAGGCCTTTCCTCGTGACACGGAGCCTGTGGTCAAACCTGGAGCAACAATACAGTTTATTATAAATAATAATTTGTTATGATACGCAATAATTAGAATTCCAAGGGAAAGGCTTGCACACGTTCATTGGGAAACATCTCACAGGGATGGGAATACGACCACTGCATTTGTGGTGTACTCAGGGGATACTGCAACACCTTTCTGTCTTGTGCATCCTCTGGCATCTTTAGGACCCTAAAATTTAGGACAGAAACGGCAAAATGTGAAAGGTTTGCAGCGAGTTTTGCTGTAGTCGTTGAACAAAAGAGCAGTGTCTGGGTCATAATATGGAGGCGATTGGTAAATAGCCAATAATTTCAGCAAAAGCTGTTTTGGGAATTTCTGGTTCCTCGCTGCATGGTCCTGAATCTGAGAGTAATTCATTGGTCTGTGTGACGTGGCAAATTCACAGCATTGTTCTCTCTCCAGAGAGCAGCATCTCTGGGACCATGCAGTCCCCTGGGGAAGGGGAGTAGTGCCATATAAGTAAACATCCTGGCTGATCTTGTACTGGTTTTCTGCCTTGATGATTTAAAAGTTCTTTCCCAACAAGTTCTTGTTGGCCCAACTAAGAAGTATATGGGATGTGAACACACAGAAATGGGCTGTTAGTGATTAAAACTGTATTTATCTCTAAAAATAATTATTGCCTTGCTTAGAGCAGTTTGAATTCCAGCACATTGTGCTTCTGGTGAGCTTCATCTGGGTGTTCAAGGTACACCCAAGGTTGTAGGGGGACTATTTTCCTTTTTTATTTTTTTTTTTAATCTCATTCTATTCTTCTGCTCTAATTGCTAAATCTTCTAATATTACCTTAATTAAAATCTTAAGTTCTTGCTTCCTTCTCTAGGCTGCTTTAGGTGACACACCACTTCTGGAGGCAGGAAAGGTAACTTTGGGAACAGAGTAAGACCTTTCCCAGCTCTCTAGAACGTCTCCAAAGATCTTTTGGGAATATTTGCCTCAGGGTTTGGCCCTGCCTGCCACCACCAGAACTTGGCAGGGGAGGGGTTGCAGGGATGTGGGGTTTAACACTATGGAAAGAAGAGCCAGTCATGTGATTGAAGTGCAACAAGAACTAATCCTGCTAACATTTCACATACCTAAAGTACCACGAGTGGCCCTCAGTTAGAAGGCAGTGACTCCAGCAGCACTTCTGGGAGGTTTTACCTCTCCAGAGTCCTCAGCTGCCACAATTCCAGGCCTCAGTAACCCTGTTTTCCAGCTCTTCCTTACAGCAAGAGCGGCTGATGTGCCTTGAATTCCTCCTTGGCAGGGAGAAGAGCCAGGGCTTGTCTGGGGTGGGAAGTACCTGCTCAAGCTTTATGCCAAGCAAACTGGGAATTGGAGCACGTGGACACTTTTTAACTGGAAAGATGCTTTCCTTCTAACTCCTATTCCTTGGAAACTTGAGGGGTGACAAATTGGGATGCATTTAAAGCACGAGGCAGATGTGATGGACAGTGAGACGTGACTCTTGTTTGCCCCTGCAGATGCTGTGGTTTAGTACTTACCTGCAGGTGTGGTGTTTGTGGTTAAGCAGCTGAAGACAAATTTAATTGCTCATTGTAATTGTGGTGCAGTTTCATCTGCTGATGCACAGGGAGAAGATGGTTCTGAATACGAAAATGCCCGTGGGCCAAAAATAGTGACTTTGTGACAGCTTGTGAACAACTTCACCAAGTGCCTCGTGGCAGATGCAGCCCGGGGCATCCACTGCCATTTGCCTTCCATGTAATGCTGCCTGTTTGCCTCCACGTGTCCCTGGAAGTGCTGGATGGGGCTTGGAGCAACCTGGTCTAGTGGAAGGTGCCTGTGGCAGGGGGTGGGACTTGGATGAGCTTTCAGGTCCTTTCCATCCCATTCTGGGATTCTGTGATTTTTCTTGGTAGAAAATTACTGGGGCAGGAGTGTAACAGCAGTTGGAAATATTGGGGTTTAATGGCACTCTCTGATGCTGTTCTTTGAATTCCAAGTCTGGCTTCCCTCATCCAGCTTTTGGATGAAGCATCTGGTGGAGACTTTGAGTGTTCTTGCTCAGATCCTCGGAGCTTTGGGGGCACTGTGTGAGTGCAGCTCTGAGCTTGAAAGAACAGGCTGAGCAAATGCTGATACTGGGAAAGTTCTGCCTTGGAATAGGGATCTTCTCCCATGTTTTCTGTGGGACTGTTGCATGGAAGCAGGTTATTCTGGCAGGAGCAGTGGGGATGACCCTGCCAGGCCCTGGCCAAGGGGCACTTTGCCACCTCCTCCCCACCTGGAAGTGGATGTCTCTAGTTGCTCCGTTGCCACACTGTAGAAGACCCTGTTTTGCTTTTTTGCTTTTTGTTGGGAGGTTGGAACTCTGGAGAATGAAGATTAAAAGAAGGAAAAGGAATGAAATGCAACCCTGAAGAATTCTGCCTCTGCAGTGTTCCTGCTTTTACTGAGATCTTGGGAGAAGGTGTGAGAGCAAACAAGTTTCTGTCTGTCTGTCACAGAGCAGCCAGGAGAGCCTGGGGAAGGACATCCCTGCAGTTCCCTTGGGCTGCCCAGGGGTAGCACAAGCATCAAGGAACATCCTGGATTATGTACCATAACTGAGAGGGCATCTCTTCTCTCTGCCCTGCCTTCCCATCCCAGGCTCCCTTTTCTCCATGTCCAGAGCTGTATCATTCCTCCTCCTCTGAGGCCTTTGTGCCATTCTCTCATCAAGGGACTCTTTGACTCCCCTTGCTCACTTTGCACTTTTCTGTTCCTCCCACTTGCTCTTGGAGCAGATCTTGGCTCTGGACTCCTGGCTGTCTTAGGAAACCTCTGCTGCAGCCTCACCTCTGTACCAGAAATTAATCAAGAAATGGGACACTCTTGGCAGAGCTGGACCTTGGAGTGATCCAGGAAAATCCACATCAGGTTCTCCCTTCTCGCTGCACCTTTGGTGTCTTCGCTCTGTGCCCAGACTACAAAGGGAGACAGGGATTAGGATCATAATGCAGGGAAACAAATCTTCCAGAGCCCTTTTATAGGTCACCCATAAGACATAAGAGTTTTTATTGCAGGAATATTTTTAGGTGCTTTTGCCCTTGCTTTAATTTTGTCTGTTAATGGGAAACTTGAAGGGGGTTTTGTTAACTGGGACATGGTTTGGAGGTGTTACACATATTAGTTCAACTCTCCTTTTTGGCAATGCTGTAAAATAGCTTGAAAATACCTGGAAATTAAGGGCTGAATGCCTCCTGTATATCAAGTATCCTTTAACAAGGCAAGCCCCCCTCTTTTCAGGGCTGTATTGAAAGCAAACCATTCAGAAAGCAGCTGCACAGTGTGTTTTGTGCCTGTTGGGGACCTGGAGCATGGAAGCCCAATGTTTACTCTGGCACAAACCCTCCTTTCTCTTGTGATTTGGTTTAAAATTATCAAAATGCTGCATATCAGAAGTTCCTCTTGTGTCAAGAATCCCTGAATGCCTGTTTATTTTGCCTTCTTTTTGGCAGCAGTTAATTTAAATTAGCTCTGCCTCTTTTTGCTCTTCCACGTGCTGTTCCAGGGAAACCTTCAGTATCTTTCCAGTGTCACAGTGCAGGAGTTTCACCAGGGGCAGTGTCTGGGTTTCAGTGGTGCAGGAGCTGACAGAGCAGGTTGTGTCCACGTCTGAACAGAGATGGGGATTCTGCTGCCTGAAAGCTGGAGTGAAATCCAAACCCTTCCTGAACAACACCTGCCTCATTCTGGCCTTTATCTGGCACCAGAGTAGAATGGTTTGAGGAATAATCCTGCCTTGAAAAGCTTCTCAGGAAAACACGGCTCTGTGCTAAAGCTGTGACTGGGGTTTGCTGCAGGGATAGTGGGAGAGCAGAACACAGTTTGGGAGAGGAAATGCTGCATTAATGTCTCGCTGGGTAGCACCATGCCCTGAATCATCAGTACTGCACTGGGGCTCCCCTCTGACTGCCTACAGAAATAGTGCCTGTCCCAGCAGAGCCGGGGAGGAGCAGGAGGTATTCTTGGCACTTGTGCTCCGCTGGGATAACCCTTCGGAGATGACCTCTCCTTACAGTGTCGCTGTCTGTGGGCTGTAGGACAGCTCTAGGTCACCCTGCAGTACAAGTTGAGGTGCCCTAGAAAGCCTTCCCTCTTTCTCTCCCCCCCTCTTTCCCAACCAACATCTGACACAAAGTGGGCCCGCTGTGCCTGCTGCCTCCCCTGGCCCCTTTTCCCGGCACGGATCTGCTGCCGAGGGATGGCCCTGGAAACCCAAGTGCTGGCACATGGAGCCCGTGTGGGGCTGCAGCTCCAAGGTGATGAATCCTGTTGCTGCTTCTCCCCTTGGGGTCATTTCCAGTCCCTTTTGGCAGCCCAGGTCTGGGATCATTGCCTTGTCACCACACGTCTCTTGTGCTCCCACTGGCCTCTCGTGTTCCTGACACTGGAGGAGATCCCTGCTTGTCATCCTCAGGGAAGCAAAAACCACAGGGAGGTCACTGGGCTCACCCAGCTCCTGCCTGAAGGAGAACTTCCTTGGCACCTTTCAGCAGGCCATGAGATGAAATTCCCTTCCTGAACCATCATTGTTTGGAATAAGTGTTATTTTCCTCTCTGGGGCTGCAGGCAGGAAAGGACATTGCAGGTGCACATCAGTGCTTGGGGTCATGAAGTCACACAGCACACACAACCCCAAAGCTCATTTATTTTCTGCTTGAAGACCTCCAGCTCAAACCCTTCATTTCCTCTGGGTGTCACTGCCCCTTGCAGGCACGGGTGGTGTGTGATCACCTGGAGGTGTGGAATGGCCTTGCCTTCCCTGCTTCCTTTGGTTTCTGTACCTGGCAGCTGCTTTCTGCACAAGACCAGAGAATTGTTAGGATCTAGTGTCTTCATTCAGTTCAGGTTTTATGTCTCTCAAAGTATTTTTATGTTTGATGTGGATACATTTTAGGTGTCGCTTTTCTTAAGGATAAATAAAACCCCTTTTTTTGTCCTTGGCCTTGTTCCTATCATGGTTATGGTTGGCATCATCTGTAATTAATTTTCTGGCACCTGTCTTAGCTTCACCCTTTGGTCAGAACTCCTGCAGAGCTCAGGGGTGTACTGGGAATCCTGTTGGAATTCCCACAGGCACTTGGAGACAGCCTGGGTCGATGGGTGTCTCCTATGGTGTCTTTGCAGGTGAACACACACGTACAGGAGCACTGTAGCTCAGGTGTTCTTACAGCCTTTTTTGTTTATTTTGATAATGTTGTGAGAGGCACAGTTAATCAGCTGCATTACTGCTAAGAAGATTCCAAGGCATGGGATGCTTCCTGCATTTCAAACCCCTGGGCTTTGAAATATGACAATATTAAGCACTTCAGCTTGCCAGGCAATTTCCCAAAGAGCTGTAATTTTTGGGACGAGCAGGTTCAGCTGATGTCTGGTTGCACAAGATGTTTTGTTCACTTCGATCAGAACTGTGAAATCTGCTCCGTTATTTCAGCTGCAGGTGCTCCCCCTGTACCTGTCTGCAGGGGGGACCTGCTAGTGGGGAAAGGAACTCTCCTTGGAAGGAATTCTGGTGCCTGGGGGTCTTTTCCTGGAGCACCCAGCCTGGCCTTTGACTGGATTATCAGATCAGTGTCCTGCCATCACACAGCAGGCCACGTGGGCCGTAATTAGCGGGCTGGAGGGCTTTAAAGGTGGTCACTGCGGCCCCAGAACCATCTGCTCCGGCCAAGGTTCAGCTCAGGCGCTGCACTGATCCAGCCTAATCTCTCGTGAGGTTTTAGGGCTGCTCTGATAAACAGGGAAGTAAAATCACAATTTTTCCTCGCAAAGACAGGCTCGGTGTGGGAAAGGAACAGCTTCCAGGGAGCTGGAAAACTTGGGTTTTTGTCCATATGACTGAAATGACTCTCTTTGCCTTTACAAGCTGCTCCTTTGTTTTGTAGCCACTCCCGACATCACCGGGCACAAGCGAAGTGAGAACAAGAACGAGGGGCAGGAGGCCCTCATGTACTGCAAGTCCGTGGGCTTCCCCCACCCCGAGTGGGTCTGGCGCAAGAAGGTCAATGGAGTGTTTGAGGTAAGAGGAGTGGGGGGCCAGGCACACACCCACCAGCCAAAATCCCTGGGAGGAGGGAAACCAGCACCCTGGCTTTAGGGATGTGCTGCTGGAGCCTCATAACTTTGTAAAATGCAGCTCCTCAGAAGTCTGATCCGTCAGTGAGTGAAGGCAGCAGTGAGGATGGATGGATGGATGGATGGATAAAAGATGCATATTTATGGTATTGGGGTGTGAACAGAGCTGCTCATGGCATTGCTGGTCAGTAGTGTTCAGGGTATCTGCTGCAAACTGCAAGATCTGAGTTATGAAATATGATTTAAATCTGCATTTGGCTATAAATTCCTCCAAGTTTTCCAGCTTAACTGGTTGAGCTCACAAGACTCAGTATGAGGAGGTGGCAGTGATCTCTATTAGTGTTCAAGTGAGCATATTTTTTCCATGTAGCAACTGCTGCAGTGAGCAGGAAAATGTGACCAGCAATGGGAATAGCAGAGAAGCTGGAAGTTGCTAAACCCGTTGGCTTTTCTGTCGCTGCATGATCTGCCAGAGAGGCAGCAATTGGAGGGATGGCTGAATAAAAAATGTTAAGCAAGTAACAGGATGGGATGATTGTTCACTGCCAAGTGTGAGCTCAGATTCCTATGGGTTGGTGCTGTATGTGCCCGTGTGCTGGGAGTGCTCAGAGGTGGTGGTGACGTGCAGGGTTCCCTTTGTGGTATTTTTTGGTGGTGTTCTGAAGCACAGCTCCCTTTAGAGAGAGAATAAACACCAGCTGTGGGCTTCTCCCTCAAAGCTCTTCCAGTTCCATGACACACAAACCAAAGGCTCTTGCTCTTTTCCACCCTTCTCCTTTCGCCAGGACATCAACAACTCCTCCGGCAGGTTCTTTATTTCCAACAAGGAGAACTACACCGAGCTCAGCATCACAAACCTGCAGATCAACGAGGACCCCGGCGAGTACCAGTGCAACGCCACCAACCAGGTGGGCTCCGTGTCGGTCACGACCATCCTGCGCGTGCGCAGCCACCTGGCCCCGCTGTGGCCCTTCCTGGGCATCCTGGCAGAGATCGTCATCCTCGTGGTCATCATCGTCATCTACGAGAAGAGGAAGCGGCCGGACGAGGTGCCGGACGGTAAGTCTGCCCAGCGCCGCCACTGAGCACGGAGCACGAGGAGCAAGGGAAGAGAACCCGTGGGAGCACAACGGAGTGGGGCCTCGGGGCAGGAAGGACCAGCAGCCCAGTTTGCCCAGCTCCAAGCGCTTTGCTTTCTCATCTGTTCCTTCTCCAGACATAAAGCCCAGAGGGTCACAACACTGGATTTTCCAGAGATCTCAGACCATGGGGTGGGAGGGGGGGTTATTAATATCTCTGAAGCTTTTTTTGCACAAGGGATCTGGTGCTCCCGTTGCTTTCCTGCTGTGGTAGCCCTGGGAAATCCTGCCTGTCGGCCCTAAGGAGCGTAGGGCAGCACAGGGGGAGAGCTGGAAGCCACTATTCCATGATGGGTAGCGACTCCCTCTTCCATGTGGCGTCCAGGTCAGACACTGGGCAGGTTCTGTAAGGAAACATTACACTTAAAACTAAGGAATCATTACATTTCAAGGGATTGGGACTGCAGAGATACTTCAAAACTGAAATGTTCTCAGAGTTCAGAGGGGTGGGGGAGGGCTCTTACTCTGCTGTGTAGCTGAATTTGTATTTAAGGAATGCTCTGGAAACTATATCTAGTAGTCATAGCCACTGAGTTAGATTTTATAAAGATCAGGCTTTTATTATCAGGTTTAATGGTAGCAATAATTAGTTAAACTGTGTTTGGTACATAAAAATAGTAACTTTCATCTTTGGGCTTCTTCTGCACACCTTCCTCTTCAGAGATCAGGGAAGGGGCAGTTTGAGGCTGAGTATTTGCAAGAACCATGCTGAGAACAGGCTTTAATGTGCTACTAGCTGCTTACTACAGTGTGTAACCAGAACCTCCCCAAGGACTCCTTGGGAGGAGCAGCTGGAACGTCATCGTGCTGTGAGATGTCCAAGCAATGGAGCAGGTGCTTCAGAGCCCATGGAGGGACCAGTACAGGCAGCACTGAGCCCTCAGCACCTTCCTGGGCTGGTCAGGCCCTCCGAGTGGGAGATGATTCCCAAGGCAGCTGGGTGTGGATGGCACAGCCAGGACACGCTGTCGTGGAGCTGCGTGAGGGACTGATCCCAGCACAGCGGGGTGTTTGGCTTTAGGATGGGAATAGAGGTGTGAGACAGGGATCTGTGTGTGAAGTGGGGGCAGAACCACCTTCACGGGGCCTCACGTGTCTCAGAGCACGAGGAGAGAAGCTGGTGAAACAGATAACAAATGGTAACAGCGGGAGAACAGCTGGGGCTTGGATCACTCCTGGGGAACACCAAAACTGGCTGAAGTAGTGCCTACCTAGAGCAAACCAGCTTCTGGTTGTCACCACTGAGTAGCACTTACTAACTGCTTACAGAGCATGTGTGGGGACTGCTCTGGGTGTGCAGCCAACCAGTTACACGGCAGTGCATGTTCCTGTGCATAACTAACAGCTTCCCAGGCGCCGAGGGGGCTGTGCTGCCCACGGCCTGGCCTCAGAGCGGCCCCAGCCAGTCCGGAAAACTTGGAAAGGACCATTTTCATGTTCTCTTGCACCTCCCCTCCGTGTTGGTGACTCTTCAGAGTTCCCTGCGTTCAGAATTTCATTTGATGAAGTTCCGCAAGGACCCAAACAAGGTATCAGTAATTTGATATGTCAGCATTCCCTGCAAGAAGCCCCAAAAGAACTGAATCCCACAGGAATTGGCTTTGACTTGACCAAATCGTAGCACAGCCACTGTGGAGGTGTGGTAAGGCTGGAGGTGCAGAGTTCACTGCCTGTTTGTTGCCAAGGCTGAGTTTTCCTGGCTGGTCTGGTCATTCCTCAGGTGCCCAAGGGATCCAGGCCCATCATCTCCCATGGAGCTGTCCATGATGATGAGCCCAGGAACTGAGGTTACTACATGGCTTTCTTGGGCACCTAAGCCAGAGCCCTGGAGAGTGACACACCTCCGGGGGGGGACAGACATTCTCCCTGTCCACCTTCCCGGAGGACAAAATCCATGCTGGATGTCACAGTCCGTACCTGTGTATTAGGTTTGCTTGGATGAAGGGACACAATTGGCATAACGCTGACTTGAGTCCTGCATTCCTTGGATACTCTTGCATTGAAGCTTTCCATGGTGCTGTGGTGGGAAACGCCCCGTGAGCGGGGCACTCACGACTGCACCCGTGGGAAATTGTGGGGAGCCTGCTGATTTCCACACGTGGATGTTTGAACTGGTTATCCTTGATTTTATTATTTTCGAGACATGGTTACGAAATGCCAAAGTTAATGTTGGAATGCAGTGGCCTGCTTTAGCGTTTGGAATTTCAACTCCCTGCTTCCCAAGTCACACCTCCTCCTCCTCCGCGTGCCGCAGCGAGCCCGAGCAGGATCGGCAGCGAGCCCGTGGCTGAGGCAGCAGCTCGGGCAGGGGATGAGGCCCGACAGCACATCCCCTCCCAGCAGTGGGGCAGCAGCCGGGATCCCTCTCAACTGGCTGTTCAAAGCTCTGTAGTTTTGGGGGTGATGTGCTCGGCTTTAAGGGTTGTGGTCACAGCAGAGCTTCACGTGAAGCTGCTGCAGCAATGACTGAGCTGTTCGTGCCCTTCCTGCTGGGGTGTGAATTTTCTCCTTGGTCCACTCCAGATTTAGACACTGAGAGTCCTTCATATTCCACCCTCATCACCCCATCTTCCAATGGCAGGATAACTCTGGGCCTCCCTGAGTCACCAGCTCTCTCTGCTGTCCTTCCTTAGCTCTGCCAGGGTAGGGAGCAGCAGTCCAGCTCCCGCAGGCAGGTTTGAGGATGGATGGCCACTTGGGAGCCCTGCCCACTGGATCCTTATTGCTGGGCTGGGCACGTCCTCCTGCTGCAGGATGACTCCTGCAGATCAGATGGCTGCTCCCTGTAAAGAACTGGAGTGTTGGGGTGCGGGTGTTGTACCTGTGGTGTCTCCCCCCCCCTCCCCAGGTGCCTCCCACCTCCACTCAGGAATCCTCTGAGAAGATCTCAGCTGGAATTTCTGCACACATTAGTGCAAAGATGGCTCGTTCAGGCCACCTTTAAAGGGTTGTTTTAAACATTTGGGAGAAAACCAAATGCTAAATGTGGTCACTTCCCCTGTATGCTGGAAAATCAGAGGCTTTTGGAGCTGGAGGAGCTGTTCAAGGGACAGCTGGAGCACCCTCAGCTCCTGGCTGGGGCAGTGCAGGATGGATGCAGCTGAGCTGTGTTGTCTTGGATCCTGATGGGAGCTTCAGGTGCCCACGCTGAGCTCTCCTCATGCCTTGTCCCAGTGTTTTTAGGGCTGGCTCAGTTCAGCCTACACAAGTGACAGTGCTCAGGGTGTGCTGTGGGCCCCTGGGATGAGACCAGCCTGGGGGATGTGACCGGCTGGAGAGAAATGTTCTCTCTGGGGGAGAGACTTCTCAGGTATCTGGGATGCTTTCCAAAAGTGCCTGGGGACCCTGCCTGGCCAGCCCAAACAGACAGTTTGGGCTGAATTAATTTGGGTTGAATTAATTCCCTTACCCTCTCATCTCCATGTTCTGGAGGCTCCAGCTGACCTGGCTCAGTGTCCCAACTGCCCCGTCCCTGGGGGTTGGGGAGGGTGACAGATATCCTGGGTACAGCTGGAGTTCTCCGTTCACTGTGGAGCGAGGCTTTAAGGGTTTCAGAGTTTGGGGGAACAAGGGCTGGTGTTACAAGGCACTTCCCCAATGGAAAATGTGTTCCCTCTGCCTGGAAGAGCAGGGCCAGTCGTTTAACTTTGGCATTTCCTGACTGCAGGTGTTGGTTTTGCATGGACCTTGCTTTCTGTGTTCCGGTGAATCGCTTTTTGTGCCTCGGGGCCAGGGCTGCTCAGGAGCTCCTTTGCTAATATTTCCTCCTTCTCAGAACTCAGATTTGTGAGTTGATTCTTATTCCTGCTGCTCAAGGGAACTTTGCACCTGTGAAATCCCTATTTCCACCAAAACAGTGCAAAGATGGCATCAGGGGATGCCCGGCACAGGGTCTCCTGTGGTGCCCGTGGATTAGGGGGTTCTCACCTCCCAGGGTGGGTAACCTGTGAACCCCCTCACATCCAAATCCCGAGCTGGAAGGAGGAAGGGAGGGCAGATTGCGCTTGAATCCCGCATCCTTTCAAAATGTGAGTTCTGACTTGCTTTACGCGTGGTAAAGCAACATCCAGCTCACATCCTGTTCCCAGAGATCAGCCAGGGGCTGGAAAATCCGGAGCAGGCAGAGAACATGCGGCTTCCGTGGCTTTTGGGACAGAGCTGCATGAGCCTGGCATGTGGCTGGATGCACGGCGGGAGCGGTTCCGCAGGGGCTGCTGGCACTGCTCCCAACGGGAGCGCCTTGGGCTGCCCGGGGCGAGGAAGGGAAGCGAGTGCCTTCATTCCTCGGGGTCCCGCTTGAGCTGCTTGGTGTCAGTAGGCAGAGGGAGATCAGCCATCGTGACCTGAACGTGGTCTAGCAAGGTTTCTAAAGAAAGGGGGTTTCCTGCTGTTGTTGGATCGAATAGCCTAAAATTAGCAAAGCTGCTGGTTTAAAGGGTGTTTTCTGGGGTAAGTAGAAAGTAAAAACTCCTTGGCTACATTCCCTGTAGGAATGGGAGCAGTTTTTACTTGAAAAGCCATATTCATGATCTTTAGTCCAAAGCCATGAGGTGACTGGGTTATAACATGTCCCTTTTCATTCTTCCCCTCTCATTTCTCAGCCTAATCCAAAGACTTCCCATAAACGTTTTTCCTGGCTCTGCAGAAGCTCCATCCATATCCCCACATTCTTTCTAACCCTCTTTTGTTTTTTTCTTGACTTTCCCTGTTCCTGCTATTACTGTAAGTAATTAAAAGAAACAAACTGTTTGCACTGCAATGGTTTACCTTGTAACAAGTTGATTTTTGTGGGTTTTTTTTTTCCCTGTTATCCTCATCTTTCTCTCCCACACCTAAAATTCATCAGGGGGAGAAAGTTGTCAGGCAGGTGCCTAGCGAGACTGTAGCCATCAGCTGATCCCAGTGGGAATCAACCAGCACAGGAGCTGTGTTGTAACACAGGCTGTCACAGGCTCTGGCTGCTCCTTCTGAGCATTTGAGCTTAAACTGAACAGCAGCTGGGTTTAACAAGGCTCCAGCTCAGTGGTGGTCTGTGCAGGAAGGCTGAGGGTGGCCAAGTGCCGGGATAAGAACTGTCCCTGGAGCTGCTGCTCTCCACTCCTCTCTGAGCAGGTTTCTTACGGCTCAGAGAAGCTGTGGCTGCCCCACCCCTGGAAGTATCCAAGGCCAGGGTGGGGGCTTGGAGCACCCTGGTCTAGTGGAAGGTGTCCCTGCCCTCAGCAGGGGGGTGGAATGAGATGGCCTTTAAGGTCTTTCCAACCCGAACTACTCTGTGATTGATTTTTAGCAAGTGTTAAAGCACGAGCCGAGACATAGAATCCCTTCAGATGCAAAAATTGGAATCTTAGTGCTGGAGGAACCCGTTAGTGTTTCATTTTTAACTTCCTCCAGTCACAAGATGCTACCCAAGATTAAGTTGCTATTAAAAGTAAACCCTGTAGCTTCCCAAAGGCGGTGGAAGAAACTGAGCAGCATCTAAAATGCCTTATAAATTAAGGCTGGAAGTAAATGGGGAGGGGGGGGCACAAAGCACATTCCTGTAGTGCAAGTGGAGGAGCTAAGGGAGATCTGCTTGTCATCACCTTCCAATTTTAATGCCCAGATATTTTTGCCCACAAGGACTGGTCACGTGTCGAGACAAGCAGCAGTTCGACCCTTTTGTTTCAGAAACGTGTGATCTGGGGGCGCCGGTCATCCCGTACCCAGAGGAGAGGCCTGGCTGGGGGGGGGTTTGATTCCTGCATTCTCTAAACAGTGGGGTTTTTGGAGGCTGTGGATCCCCTCCAGCTGGCAGAGGGAAGCCCTGCAGGAGGGGTGTAGTGTGGTCGGTGGTGGTCCCAGCTCGGCCGGGTGCACCTTCTCCGTGGCCGTCGGTGCCACTGTACCAGCGCAGGGCTTTGGCATAAAGCTTTGGGTTGTATTGATCTTGTCGGTTACTATGACTTCTTTTTTTTTTTTTTCCCCCCTTCAATTGCATCATACCCTTAAAAAACGGTGGTAAGTGAGAGCTCTGCATGCTTTGGAGTTTGTTTAACCTCCGCTTCAGTCTATACAACGCACAAGTCATGACCGTTAACACTCTTAAAACTTCCTCATTCACGTTCACAACTAATTTGGATTTCAGTTTGCTGTTTTTAATCTTTTCTTTAGTCTGATTTTGTACTGGTTTTTCTGTTGTTCTGTTGCCCCCTGGTTTCGCTGAGGGTTCGGTCTCTGTCTGTACTGTACTGGGGATGCTTTTCCAGCAGTTACTGGCTCACCAGGATAGCGACGCACCGAGGAATCTTCCTCGGTCTTTTTCTCTCTGTTTAGGGTATAGATGGGACAGGGACGAGTGGTGGGGATCCACCATCTCTAAGTATTCCAGTAGGCTTTTTTGTTGGATCTCTGTTAGGAAAACACCTGATGGCAGCCTTTACAAATGTGAAGCTTCTTTTATTTATTTTTTTTTTTTTCCCCCCCAAACACAAACCTCCTGATCCGAAATGGGCATTTAAATATTTGAGCAGAGAAGGGAGAACGGTTATTTTTCTAGCGAGATCTCCACGGTGCAGTTCGATATTGCTGAAGTCCAGCCAAACAAACTCCCAAAGCTGTCGATGGTGTTTGTCAGAGCCGAGAGGAGTCTCGGGGGCAGCGCTGGGTTTGGGGCCCGGGGCTCGTCCCGCCCGGAGCGCGGAGCTCGGCCTGCTTTCAGATCCTTTGATTCCCAAAAGATGTTTGTGGAAGGAAGCTGTAGATTTCCTCTGCTGTGCTTTGTGTTTCAGTACCTGATGTGTCTCTGTATATCTCACTGTATATACAACAGCACATTGATGTCTGGCTGTCCTTCCTAGTCCCAGTTCTCTGTACCGTGTCCGATAGTTACTGTTGCTGGTAATGGAATTCTGTGGACACCGGTGTGTCGCTAGTCTGTTATTTTGGCTGTAAAGCTCTTGGTTTGTGGTTAGTTCTTTATTTTTGGAGTATTTTTTGTTCCGGTCACTGTCTGTGCTAGCGGTGGCTTTGCCTCTCCGTTGCCTTGAAGGTCCAGGTGGAGTAATGTCCCCTCTTCCCGACATTACTCCTGGCGTGTGCTCATGCGGATGCCTACACTGTAAGACTGTAATTTCCATAACTGCTTCATGTGCACTAAGCACCCTTGTGGAATCCTGCTGAGAGTTTCTCAAAGACTTCCCATGAAAAATCCCCCCGGCACAAGGCGGGAACAGCAACTGTTGAGTGCCCAAACCAGCAGGGCCTGAATTGGTCCCCCCAAAATCCACCTATGGGAACGTTAACTTCCAGGATTGGTTTCTGTACTGCTGTTTAAATGCATTTCTGTCTTCTGTACTGCAGCCTGGGAGAAAATACAGTGTTTGAGAATCCCAAAAAATAGTCCAATTGCTCCTGAAAGAGTTAATGCCAAACATTCCTCATTGGCAGATGTTTCCCCCCCAATTAAGAGCATTCTTTTGCCAAGGGACACAGGCAGGACGATGCTGTGATGCTGTCGGTGTTCTGGAGGTGTCACAGCTCCTGACTCCTCCTGGTGATCAGATGCCACTGCCCAAGGACCACGGCTGGGGCTGGAATTGAGTGTTCCCCTTCAGTCTCCTCCTAACCTGGTCCCTTCTAATTAAACATTGAGAAAAATGGGGAGTGTAGAGGTGGTTTCATCCATGGGGGAAAATGAGTAGGGGGGGTATGTCCCTTCTGAGGTAAATACCAGGAATTACCCATGAGCAGTGGAGAAATGGCTTACAAATTGAAATATATATATATTAAAAATTAAGTCAATGCAAGCAAACAACCAGCAGGATTTTACAACTGAACCGTTGGTTTGTCTCCTCATCTATATTTTATGAGATTGAACCACTGGAACTTGGGGACAAGATGAGCCTTGACCATGTTGCACCAATCTGTCCGCTACAGTTGCAGTCCTTCATGACCAGCATTCCAAGTGTTAACTAAACCCATTGAAGCAACATACCTGCCATTAAACCCGAATCCAGAACAGTAACTCCATGACTCCTTGCACTCCCGACTGGAATGGCCTTTGATGCTGTAGATAGATCGGTTTGCTGCTCGCAGTGCGGCCGCGGCACCGGGCAAACACTGACTCTCTTTTTCTTTCCTTCCCTTGTCTCTCCTGGATCGCATCGGGATTCTTGCTGCAGATGATGAACCAGCTGGGCCAATGTAAGTGTGTTTTGAGGAAAAAAGTTCTATTTGGGCTAATCTGGGGGGTTGTGGGAGGTGACAGAACATATGATTGATGTCACGTGTGCCATTAAGGGCGGTAACGGACACTTTGGTGTGTTGTGTGTTAGTGCTGGAGGAAAGAAAAGCAACATCTTGCTAGAAAACAAATATTGTGGTACAATACCAAGTCTGAAAGCTTTATTGTATTCAGCCACTTAAAGAGAGGAAGAGTGAAATGCTGTTTAAATGATTATGTACAAATAATTGCATATAATTATGTACAGATAAGTACAAATAATGTACATTTTTCCTGTGCTGGTGACTGATTTTGGTGCACTTCTTTATAACTTCTCTCTCTCTCCAGGAAAACCAATTCTACAAACAATCACAAAGATAAAAACTTACGCCAGAGAAACACAAATTAAAAATGCTCATCATGTAAGTATTCCCCGAGCCCTGCTGGGAGAGGGCAGGCTCAGCCCTCCCCTGGCTGTAGCGGTTGGGGCGCGGAAGCAAAGCGCGTTCCACGGATTCAAACGTTCCCGGCTGCGCGGAGGATGGCGCTGGCCTTCCTGCCGCGCCTCAGGGAGCGCTGGGGGGCACCAAACCATTGATTGCCTAAAGCACGAGGGTGGTTGAACGCCCCACCTGCTCCAAAAACACACACTGCGATTCCAAAGCCGCCCCCTCGTCCCGGGGGTCAGGAGTGGCGCCGGCCCGGGGGCGGCCGTGCCCCTCCCGCGAGCGCGGGGATTGCAGGCTGGCGGCTCGCGGGGTCCACCATTGACTAGCACCTCTTTCTCGTTTCTTTTTTAGAGCTTTAAGTTTCTGAGAGACTGATGGCAATATGACCTGCTAAATTTAAGGGTTGGAACTCTTGGTTCTAGAACTCCAGTTCTGTCTGATTTCTTTTTTTTTTTTCTTTCCTTTCCAAGTGAGCAACGATATGACTGTCTAACGCATGCCTTATTTAGCCTCTCCTGCAAGGATGACCTAGCCAGATCAATTTTAATAATGCTTCCGTGTAGAAGGTGTAAACTATTTTGGGCTTGATGTGCTGTGAATGTTGCTTTTTTTTTTTTTTTTTCCCTTTACTCTCTTTACCATGAGCAGTAGCCAGGCGGGTTCACGCATGCGCCATTTTTTACTTCCTGTAGCTGTTAAATTTGGCACCGCTCAAACCGCACCGCTGCCATCTAGTGAGACTTCTTTTGTAAAGTACAGCAGAACTTAAAAATATATACAGTATATATTTATATTGGGGGCGGGGGGGAGGGGAAACCAGAAGTCATTGTGGTTCATTTTGAAGCTGCTGATATTCATTCCTTACTGTATGGCTGGGAGGAGAGAGCGATGCCGGGCTGGCACTGGGACAAGGGAGACATTGGAATTACCTTAAGGGCTTAACTGCGGAGCACGGGGTGTCCTGGGCGGCGCAGCTGGGATGGTTCCAGGGGGTGGTGGTGGTGGGATGCAGTTGGAAACAAAAACAAACCTTCAGTTTATAAATATATATATATGATTGCTTTTTAAGTGATTTTTTTTTTTTTTTGTTAACTCATGTAAATTCTCAAATCCTTTTGCACTGATGTGTTCAACATATTCTTGTACATTCAATTCAGGCAAACTTTTATAATTTTNTTTTTTTTTTTTTTTTCCCTTTACTCTCTTTACCATGAGCAGTAGCCAGGCGGGTTCACGCATGCGCCATTTTTTACTTCCTGTAGCTGTTAAATTTGGCACCGCTCAAACCGCACCGCTGCCATCTAGTGAGACTTCTTTTGTAAAGTACAGCAGAACTTAAAAATATATACAGTATATATTTATATTGGGGGCGGGGGGGAGGGGAAACCAGAAGTCATTGTGGTTCATTTTGAAGCTGCTGATATTCATTCCTTACTGTATGGCTGGGAGGAGAGAGCGATGCCGGGCTGGCACTGGGACAAGGGAGACATTGGAATTACCTTAAGGGCTTAACTGCGGAGCACGGGGTGTCCTGGGCGGCGCAGCTGGGATGGTTCCAGGGGGTGGTGGTGGTGGGATGCAGTTGGAAACAAAAACAAACCTTCAGTTTATAAATATATATATATGATTGCTTTTTAAGTGATTTTTTTTTTTTTTTGTTAACTCATGTAAATTCTCAAATCCTTTTGCACTGATGTGTTCAACATATTCTTGTACATTCAATTCAGGCAAACTTTTATAATTTTTTTTTTTTTTTTTTTTTTTTTTTTTTTTTTTCCCCCCAAACACAAACCTCCTGATCCGAAATGGGCATTTAAATATTTGAGCAGAGAAGGGAGAACGGTTATTTTTCTAGCGAGATCTCCACGGTGCAGTTCGATATTGCTGAAGTCCAGCCAAACAAACTCCCAAAGCTGTCGATGGTGTTTGTCAGAGCCGAGAGGAGTCTCGGGGGCAGCGCTGGGTTTGGGGCCCGGGGCTCGTCCCGCCCGGAGCGCGGAGCTCGGCCTGCTTTCAGATCCTTTGATTCCCAAAAGATGTTTGTGGAAGGAAGCTGTAGATTTCCTCTGCTGTGCTTTGTGTTTCAGTACCTGATGTGTCTCTGTATATCTCACTGTATATACAACAGCACATTGATGTCTGGCTGTCCTTCCTAGTCCCAGTTCTCTGTACCGTGTCCGATAGTTACTGTTGCTGGTAATGGAATTCTGTGGACACCGGTGTGTCGCTAGTCTGTTATTTTGGCTGTAAAGCTCTTGGTTTGTGGTTAGTTCTTTATTTTTGGAGTATTTTTTGTTCCGGTCACTGTCTGTGCTAGCGGTGGCTTTGCCTCTCCGTTGCCTTGAAGGTCCAGGTGGAGTAATGTCCCCTCTTCCCGACATTACTCCTGGCGTGTGCTCATGCGGATGCCTACACTGTAAGACTGTAATTTCCATAACTGCTTCATGTGCACTAAGCACCCTTGTGGAATCCTGCTGAGAGTTTCTCAAAGACTTCCCATGAAAAATCCCCCCGGCACAAGGCGGGAACAGCAACTGTTGAGTGCCCAAACCAGCAGGGCCTGAATTGGTCCCCCCAAAATCCACCTATGGGAACGTTAACTTCCAGGATTGGTTTCTGTACTGCTGTTTAAATGCATTTCTGTCTTCTGTACTGCAGCCTGGGAGAAAATACAGTGTTTGAGAATCCCAAAAAATAGTCCAATTGCTCCTGAAAGAGTTAATGCCAAACATTCCTCATTGGCAGATGTTTCCCCCCCAATTAAGAGCATTCTTTTGCCAAGGGACACAGGCAGGACGATGCTGTGATGCTGTCGGTGTTCTGGAGGTGTCACAGCTCCTGACTCCTCCTGGTGATCAGATGCCACTGCCCAAGGACCACGGCTGGGGCTGGAATTGAGTGTTCCCCTTCAGTCTCCTCCTAACCTGGTCCCTTCTAATTAAACATTGAGAAAAATGGGGAGTGTAGAGGTGGTTTCATCCATGGGGGAAAATGAGTAGGGGGGGTATGTCCCTTCTGAGGTAAATACCAGGAATTACCCATGAGCAGTGGAGAAATGGCTTACAAATTGAAATATATATATATTAAAAATTAAGTCAATGCAAGCAAACAACCAGCAGGATTTTACAACTGAACCGTTGGTTTGTCTCCTCATCTATATTTTATGAGATTGAACCACTGGAACTTGGGGACAAGATGAGCCTTGACCATGTTGCACCAATCTGTCCGCTACAGTTGCAGTCCTTCATGACCAGCATTCCAAGTGTTAACTAAACCCATTGAAGCAACATACCTGCCATTAAACCCGAATCCAGAACAGTAACTCCATGACTCCTTGCACTCCCGACTGGAATGGCCTTTGATGCTGTAGATAGATCGGTTTGCTGCTCGCAGTGCGGCCGCGGCACCGGGCAAACACTGACTCTCTTTTTCTTTCCTTCCCTTGTCTCTCCTGGATCGCATCGGGATTCTTGCTGCAGATGATGAACCAGCTGGGCCAATGTAAGTGTGTTTTGAGGAAAAAAGTTCTATTTGGGCTAATCTGGGGGGTTGTGGGAGGTGACAGAACATATGATTGATGTCACGTGTGCCATTAAGGGCGGTAACGGACACTTTGGTGTGTTGTGTGTTAGTGCTGGAGGAAAGAAAAGCAACATCTTGCTAGAAAACAAATATTGTGGTACAATACCAAGTCTGAAAGCTTTATTGTATTCAGCCACTTAAAGAGAGGAAGAGTGAAATGCTGTTTAAATGATTATGTACAAATAATTGCATATAATTATGTACAGATAAGTACAAATAATGTACATTTTTCCTGTGCTGGTGACTGATTTTGGTGCACTTCTTTATAACTTCTCTCTCTCTCCAGGAAAACCAATTCTACAAACAATCACAAAGATAAAAACTTACGCCAGAGAAACACAAATTAAAAATGCTCATCATGTAAGTATTCCCCGAGCCCTGCTGGGAGAGGGCAGGCTCAGCCCTCCCCTGGCTGTAGCGGTTGGGGCGCGGAAGCAAAGCGCGTTCCACGGATTCAAACGTTCCCGGCTGCGCGGAGGATGGCGCTGGCCTTCCTGCCGCGCCTCAGGGAGCGCTGGGGGGCACCAAACCATTGATTGCCTAAAGCACGAGGGTGGTTGAACGCCCCACCTGCTCCAAAAACACACACTGCGATTCCAAAGCCGCCCCCTCGTCCCGGGGGTCAGGAGTGGCGCCGGCCCGGGGGCGGCCGTGCCCCTCCCGCGAGCGCGGGGATTGCAGGCTGGCGGCTCGCGGGGTCCACCATTGACTAGCACCTCTTTCTCGTTTCTTTTTTAGAGCTTTAAGTTTCTGAGAGACTGATGGCAATATGACCTGCTAAATTTAAGGGTTGGAACTCTTGGTTCTAGAACTCCAGTTCTGTCTGATTTCTTTTTTTTTTTTCTTTCCTTTCCAAGTGAGCAACGATATGACTGTCTAACGCATGCCTTATTTAGCCTCTCCTGCAAGGATGACCTAGCCAGATCAATTTTAATAATGCTTCCGTGTAGAAGGTGTAAACTATTTTGGGCTTGATGTGCTGTGAATGTTGCTTTTTTTTTTTTTTTTTCCCTTTACTCTCTTTACCATGAGCAGTAGCCAGGCGGGTTCACGCATGCGCCATTTTTTACTTCCTGTAGCTGTTAAATTTGGCACCGCTCAAACCGCACCGCTGCCATCTAGTGAGACTTCTTTTGTAAAGTACAGCAGAACTTAAAAATATATACAGTATATATTTATATTGGGGGCGGGGGGGAGGGGAAACCAGAAGTCATTGTGGTTCATTTTGAAGCTGCTGATATTCATTCCTTACTGTATGGCTGGGAGGAGAGAGCGATGCCGGGCTGGCACTGGGACAAGGGAGACATTGGAATTACCTTAAGGGCTTAACTGCGGAGCACGGGGTGTCCTGGGCGGCGCAGCTGGGATGGTTCCAGGGGGTGGTGGTGGTGGGATGCAGTTGGAAACAAAAACAAACCTTCAGTTTATAAATATATATATATGATTGCTTTTTAAGTGATTTTTTTTTTTTTTTGTTAACTCATGTAAATTCTCAAATCCTTTTGCACTGATGTGTTCAACATATTCTTGTACATTCAATTCAGGCAAACTTTTATAATTTTCTTTTTTTTTTTTTTTGTTTAAATGATGAAATGTTACAGCATGGTGATATTCTATGCAACTAGTTATTCCTCTTTAGTTTGACACTGTAATTTCTCATGATTTAAAGATTGTAGAAATAGACCTACCAGGGTTCTCATGATGTGCGTAACTGTAGCTGCATGAACTCGTGTTCTGTGTATTTGTTGAAGTGCAATGATGTATAAAAAGTGGATTCACCTGTTTTTAAAAATAAAACACTGACAAAAAACCCCAGGGGTCTTGTTTTTCAACCATTTAATCTCTTGGTACAACGTGGTGTTTCTCAACCTTCTGTGAGTTTCTGCAATTCCTTCTCCACATCTTCCACGAAGGCTGGGAAGTGCTGGTCCATGAGGCAGAGGCGGATGAAGGGCCCCAGCTCGTGTGCAGGCCACACCACGTGCCTGTAGGCCTGGGGCAGCTCGGGCCTCCTCCTCAGCACGGACTGGGGAAGGAACAAAAACCAGAGTGGTTGCACTGCCCTCGGACACAACAGGTCCCTGACAACACACCTACATCCGAGTTTTCCTCTGACACTGGATAAGGATGGATCTGCCCCGTTCATGCTGTTGGAACGCTTTGATCAGGTAGGATTGCTGTGTGCTGGTTTTTCTCTGATGCCCAGCTCTGATCCCAGTGTGGTTTTTACACAGTGTCAAATTTTACTGCGGTTACTTAAATTGGAAATTTAAACTGGAAATGCCAGTTTCCTGGGCAGTGTGGCTTCCTGGTGAATATCCATTCTGTGTAAGAGCAGTGGATCCACACTGCCACGTGAATTGTGTAGGGATAACAAGTGTGCACTTCTGAGCTCTTAATTTAGCAAAATGTCTTGTAGAAGTAAATCGTGGGGCTTTTGAAATGTTAAAACATCCTTTTTGTCCCTGTTCAACCACCTCCCTGAGCTTTTTCCTCTGGTGGTGGGAGAACTCTGGGCATTTTATCCCTGGTCAGTGTAAATAAAATGAGTGGCAGCAGAGTGGAAGATGCAGGACATGGGCTGTGGAAGCCCTGGCTGCCTCCAGCATCCACAGGCAATGCCTGGAGAAAGGCACAGCCTAATGGAACCAACTGTGTTTAAGGGATGACAGATCCATCTAATAGGGAGCTTGGGAATTGTCCCTTGTAGCACTGATGCAAAGAACATGGATCACTCCCTGCCTGTGGCAGGGGGTTGGAATGAGATGGACTGGAAGGTCCCTTCCAACCCAAAGCAGTCTGGGATTCTGTGATCACCCTATGACCATGGAAAGACCCAGAGAAACAACTGCAAAAGCACGAGTTGGAAAGAGTAGAGTTTTCTGCTAATTCCATCTCCTGCACTAGTCCAAATTCCCAGTAAAGGAGAACAGTTCATTTCCAGTTATTTACTTTGGGAGCTGTTTATTAAATATTGGATCTGCTGCAGGTCAGGGATGAGAAGGCTCCAGTGCCTAAAGGGGCTCCAGGAGAGCTGGAGAGGGACTTTGGATAAGGGCGCGGAGAGAAAAGATGAGGGGGAATGGCTTCCCACTGCCAGAGGGCAGGGTTCGATGGGATACTGGGAGGAAATTCTTCCCTGTGAGGGTGGGGAGGCCCTGGCACAGGTGACCCAGAGCTGTGGCTGCCCCATCCCTGGAAGTGTCCAAGGCCAGGTTGGAAGGGGCTTGGAACAACCTGGGATAGTGGAAGGTGTCCCTGCCCATGGCAGGGGGTGGAAGGAGATGGGCTTTAAGGTCCCATCCCACCCAAATCATGTTTCTGTGATTGGTATTTTCAGATTTCAGCTCTGTCTGCAGAAGTAATTTCTGCAGAGTCAAACCAGTGCCAAAGCCATTCACTGGGATGTTGCCTCTGGGCATTTATTTGCTCTCAGTGTGTCATTTGTTTGTATGCAAATGGAGTAATTACACCACCAAATACCTGGGTCTGCATCATTACACAGATCCTGTGTTTTGCTGCTGTGGATGATGGCATCCTGATGTTCAGGGAAGACATTTACCAGATGTTTATGGAATCTGAGTTCATTCTCTCTCTGTGCCTGACAGATTCAGCTGAAGGATCTAAATATTAAGACTTTTATGGTTTTACCTGTGCTAGCTGTGCTACAGATCTTCTTTCTCCAAGGCTTGTGCAGGAATCTTGTAGAGACTCATCTGGCTAGAAAATATCAAATGCAAATAAGGGCTTGTTACCAAGCAGAGTGTGGGAATGTGCAAGAGGGAAGTAGTTCCATTTTTAGAGCTGATGGGAAGGGAATGTGCTCAGCTACCTTATGCAGTAAAAAGGCATCTTTTTATGGAACCTGCATGCACATCTGCTCAAGTCTTTAAAAATGAAAGATACAACAATTTAACTACAGGCCCATTATTTCATGTCTGAGCTAAGTTTTAAACTACTTCCTAGAAGTAACTTTAAAAAAAGCTCTGCATGAATGATCACAGGAGCATGCTGCTTCCTTCCCATGGGTCTAAACACTCAAGAGAGCATATATTTAAGAAGAAACTTTCTGCCTTTTTCATTTACCTCAGAGCTTTGTCTTGGAGAGGGGAAACATTCTGTTCCTACAGCTCAAACTGTTCCTACAGCTCACGCTGTACATCTGCAGTTGTAGCAATCGCTACCACTGCAACCCAGGAGTAGGTGAACACAAAAAGGAGATACAATACAGGGTTCCTTAATGGCTCTGCTCATTTTTTTTACCCTGTACAATTAATTTGAAAATCTGCCAGCTGGGTCCCAACTCATATCTCATGTAGATGGTCTCACAGTTGCAAGAAACTCGTCCTTTCCAGCTCCAGCACTAACAGCTGGTTATCCTTCTGTCCGTGTGTTCTGACTTACCCCGTGCTCAGTGTCCATGCCCTGGTTGTCCTGGCTGAGGCCGTGGTACAGCTGCTGGCTCTGTTCCTCAGCCCCCTGCACGGGGACGTACTCGCACAGTTTGTGAACACAGCTGCAGCAGTGTCCCAGCATCTCCTCCTTGGAATTCCCACCAAACTGCACACGGAACATGCGGCACTCGTTCTGCTCGGAAACCAGAGGGGAAGGAAATGAACTGTGAAAGCCCTCAAACTACTTTGATTTAATGAAATCCCTGCTTGTTAAAGATGGGAAGAAGGCGGTAGATTCTTGGGTCACTGCACCAACTTAAACAAGTTTTCCCTGCTGTATTTTCTTTTTTTTTCCCAGCAGCTGAACCAGAAGACTGTGATTCCCAATTTGAAAGTCAGTTAAAAATATGCAAGAAAAGGATAAGTAAGAGATGCAGGGCCAGCTGTCACTAATTAAAGGTACAGCCACGTGAACAAACCTTGCCGTGACAACAGTTTTTACACACAGAGCAGGAAATGAGTTTTATTGTTGCTGCAAGTAGTATCCAGTAAGGACAGGCCAACTTGACAGTTTTCTGTGACAAAAAAATGACATGACACTACAGTAAGAAGTTAACTCTGAAATCTGAACTAGAAATTCTGGGAATGGTATGTTCCAGTTGGGATTTGTTCCTGATGCATCAAACCCAGCCCTTCCTACCTACCTGGTCTAACTCTGTGTAGCTAAACCCAAATATTGTTTGGCTTTCACCTGAATGTTCCTTGAACAGAAGCCAACACGTTGAATGGGAGTGCAAGAAATTCCAATGCATTGCTTTAAACAGTGAATTACCACTCAAAATGAAAGAAACCCAGACAGCTCTGACCCCTCAGTATAGGTTGTCAGGCTGTACCATAATATTTTTAAGTGTCTGATGTCCAGCAAACTGCCCTGAAATGGGGATGGCAGAGTCTGTTGTGTGTGATAAGCTTGGCCCTGAGCACCCTGAGCTGATGTAAGGGCAGATGGATACTGATGTTCAGGGAGTGAATTAATGGGACTTCCCGTTTGATCTTGAAATTTCCAATTTAAAAGTTGAACTCCTAGAAAAGCAGCAAGTTTTCCTTGGGCCAGCCTGGCTTACTCGAGTGTTCATCCTTCTGAGGTTTCAACATCCAGTCCGTTTTTTGGCGCCTGGACGCGCTGCCAGGCTGTGGGTACTGAGTGCGGGGACAGCTCTCGGTGTAAGGATTTCTGTCTCAGCCACGAGCCAGCTCTTCCTGACAGCCTCCCTGTTTACATGCCCGTTATTTTAAGATGTCTGTATCACATAAAATGATTTTTAGGGCGGTGTAAGCATAAAACCTTGTCTCAGTGCCTTTTCAAGGGAAAAATGTCACAATAATGTGAAGCGTAGCCCTCGTTTTACCAGTGCCTGGTTGTGTTTGCTCTGATTAACTCAGATGTAACTGCGGAGCTGCACATACCCAAGAACTGATCTGTGGGATGCCAGACAGGCGAGTTCTCATTAAAAATGACAGAAAGGGAATTTAACTTGAATTCCTCTTGGAGACTTTTGAAGACCACTTGTTTTAGTTACCCTTTTTTGACTCTGAAAATGAAACATTCTTCCCTTCTGGAAAGAGAGCTGAGATGATGTCACGGTTTAGCATAACCTGAGTACTGGGCAGTCACACCTGAACCTAAAGCTGATGTGTTAAAGAACCCTGAGGTCACGTGAATCATCCAGTTTGCACTTCTTCCATGCTGGGGTTGGGGGCTGAGCTCAATGAAGACAATTTGCAGTGAAATTACTTATTGCAAGAATATTAAGAACTTTCACCTTGCTCCTGTTTATATGAGAGGCTCCAGCCTCGTTCTGCTAAGAGTCCACAGTGCCCTACTGAAATCATATTTCCTAAGTAATGAGTAAGTTCCACTATAACTGCAGTATTAACGACTTAGAAAAAGCAAGGAGTACAAGATAAATCCAAAATTTATCAGAAAGATGAGCACAGAAGCTTCGTATACTGACAGCATTAAAGGCATAGCTTCAGCTACAACTTGGGACATGAAGTGCGTGGTAGAACCACTGCAGTGCCACTAAATCCAGTCTGCCATGTGAATTTGTGGTAAGTAAACATTTAGATGCACCAAATTTATTTCAGCCTATGTTAATACTCCTCCTTGCCTGAAGTGCCCCTCAGAGGTTTGTTAAGCCTCGGAGTGACTGTGATGTTTTGTGTTCCTGGAGAGACGCAGCAGAATCCCTGTGCTGGGGGACTGGGTGTGTTAGTGGGAAAGGGAACACCCTTCTGGTTCATCAGCACCAATTCCTGCCCCAGGGTGAGACTTGTCTGCAGTGACAGGCCATGTTTTATAACAAGCTGACAAAAATCACAGCACAAAGGTGTTTTAGTTTCAGGCACAAGCCA